GGTTTACATATCGAGTAGTTTTATTGAAAGACTCATTTTTCCACTAAAATTTTAATTATATGTGAATATTGTACAATTATTGTAATTGTAAACTATTTACTTCTACCACCTGGTATGTGTCAGTACTAAGCACTTAACCTGTTTCATTTGATGCCTATTCTCGTGATTAATATAGTAACATTGTGTTCTTGTGAGATATCATTTTCTATTATATTATTTTTCGGTAATTGTTACACAGAATGTCATCTTTGTTTTATGAAATCTATTTTTAAAATATTACCTGTTCAAAATTTTTTCTACATGAATTCACTTAGCTTTTTTCAATATTTATTTTTGTATCCAAGTATTAATTTTTATATATATATGTATTTACATTTATAACAAGACCTCACTATGTCATGTCGTATCATGCTGGTTCTCTAGGACACCATTCTTTGTTCTTGATGCTAGGATGAAAGTGTCTAATATTTTTAGTCATTATTATTTATGTAGTTTGTCTGATAATGGATCAACGTTTCTTACTACATTAAGTCAATTGATGCTTATGATGACATAGATGATGATGTCTAGGGAAATTACACAATTCTTTAAATGTGGTAGGAAAGAAATGAAAATTTCTCATTAACTTGAGCCAAAAACTATTTGTTGTTTTGGAAGATTACCTTTGGTGAAGATTACCTTTGGAGACAACTTTAAGATAGATGGATGTTGAGTAGAAAAGAAGAAAGGGAACAGTGTGACCCAGGTCAGCAGAATGTACTCCTGAGAATCAGTGGGATAATGCATCTTGCACCTAGACATTTCCCATATCTAATGTTACAAGCAGTAATAATTTTCTTGAATGTAGAAGAAAAAAATTAAAGAAGAGAGAATATGGCATTAGTGTCTTCGTTATGTCCCAGTGTGCTCTTTATGTGGATTGGAAATAATTGTACAGAGACAACCACTTTCTTTATTCTGTTTTAGTTGGCAAAGTAACTTTGCTTGGTAGTTTACTTTTCAACCTGCAATCATATTCAGCATTCTTTTTTGTTAATTTACACGTTATTCTCTAAAGCAGTAAATGGGTTGTACAACTTCATCTCATGTAAGAGTTTTTTTTAATTGAGGTCAATTGACTTTTATTATAATAACTTCAGGTATACAAGATAGTAATTTTATATTTTTAGAGATTATACTCATATATAAAGTTATTATAAAGTACTGGCTCTGTTTCGTACACTGTACATTACATCTGTGTATCTTATTTATTTTATATCTAGTGGTTTTTGTTGATAGTGTATAATCCTACCTCCTTTAAGGTACCACGCAGTCTTGTTGTTGGTAATATGTGAAAATAACATCAACAGAAAGAAAAGGTAAGTGCTGGTCACTGGATTTTTGGACTACTGACTTCAACTGACTACGTATAGCCAATGAAGTTTGGAGTTCTTGTTAAATTGGTATAGTAAGGTGAGGCATCTTGAGGGCAAGAATTAAGCACTGTAATTTACTGGTGGTATTTTCAGGCTCTGTCTGAGTATTTAATTGTTTTATCACCAAAGAAAAAGACGAAGGTAGCATCGACAAATATAATATATTAGAGAAGTAGAGAGGCAATTCTCTCAAAATGTTTATGTGC